AAGTTAAAGCAAGTTAAGGTCACTGTCCAAATGCCTCTTAAACACTGACAGGTTTGGGGGCATTGACTACCTCTCTAGGAAGCCTATTACAGTGTTTGACCAACCTCTCAGTAGAGAAATGTTTTCTAATGTCAAGTCTGAACTTCCCCTGATGCAACTTTGAGCCATTCCCACATGTCCTGTCACTGGACATCAGGAAGGAGAGACTAGCACCTCCCTCTCTACTTCACCTCCTCAGGAAGCTGTAAAGAGCAACGATGTCACTGCTTAAACTCCTTTTCTCCAAACTAGATGAGCCCAAAGTCTTTAGTGGTACCTTATAGGTCATCATGCCTTCCAGCACTTTCATCAGCTTTGTTCCTCTCCTCTGGACATATTCAAGCACCTTAACATGATTTTTAAATTGTGGGGGCCAGAAATGCACACAATACTCAAGGTGACACCACCGTGCTAAATACAGTGGGAATTAGACAATGGAAATTAATACTGTCCCATGAAAGAAATTGCAGCTTTATTTACAAATCATTACCTGTATACTAGAGTAAAAATATCAACAAGATGACATCTTTCAATTTCCTTCATTTGAATTGAAGGACAGGGTTCAATATTAAAGACCAACACAAAACATTTTTATTTCTGAAATAATTTTTTTCAGCTTTTACTTTGGCTTCTGTTCATAGATGTAACAGATTTTCGGTGTTTATATTCATTCACCCAAGACCAAAACAAAATTAATTAAGAAAAAATATCCAGAACCCTGTTTATATCCACTTGTTCTGTTGATATATAAAAGTATCAATATATTGATATCTATACAAGTGTCAGTGTAATTTAAAAGCCCCATCATCTAAATATTCATGTATTCCTTTTGTTTTTTTTTAATTCTCTGAGATTCACAAACTTATTTACCGTTTGTCTAATCTGTTTTCTTTGGCACAGGAATTAGAATATATATTTTAAATTAAGTTACTATTTTGAGACCAATTTAATCCATTAGGACATGTAGCTAATGAACATATTGCCATTTTTTCCACTTTTTTTTCTTAAAGACAATTGACTGTAGCAAATCTTTAAATCTGAAAGGACTTAATTAGTATCCAGGGATATCTCAGTGGTATTTAATTAACAAAGAGACAGTATTTAATTAACAAAGAGACCCCAAATTACTTTAAAGGGAAAAAAGTAACCAGCCTCTCACTATATCCTGCTAGGAGCTTTTCAGGTTGTTTTGTTTTTTTTTTTGGTTGGTTGGAGTTTTTTTGAGTTACTGGCTTTTTTGTTTGTTTTAAACATGAAATCCTAGTTAAAAGGATGATACTTTGCCATTTAGAATTATCACGAGAAACAATATTTATCTTCAGGCTAGCAAGAAAAGTGTTTTAGAGTCTCATTATAATTCTTTGGTCTGTACAACAGATGGACTACATTAAAACAAAGTTTTGAGAGGTTTAAAAAAAGGCAAACTAAATCATAGAAAGCAGCAGAAATTAGCCACTATTTAACAAAAAAAAATAGTGAACGCAGGATTATTAAAACACAGATTCACAAAAAGGATCTCTTCCCTAAAAGAAAAGCCTCATATACTTAATGCCACAACACCTACTCCATGAAATACTACCAGGGTAGAAGGCTTTATTAAATTATTAACACTTTTGGCCATTATATGTTCATTTTTATTTCTATTACGATATCTCCACTGTTAAAGGCTGCGTGTCTTCTTACTGAGACAAGATAGAATTAACCTTTCTAGTTTATTCATCTACTTAATCTTATTTGTACAGTCTTAACTCTTCCTCATTACACTGTACTCAACCTGATCTTTGCTCACTCCACTGTTATTGATCATATCACTCTAGAAGCATCTCTCTACCTGTTTCAGCATGACACAACCTCCATTTTCTCCTGTGCCAAGTTATCCTGCATTCTTCATTACAGACTCCTGAACACAAGGCAGGCCTGATCAGCACAGAACAGCCCAGTATTCTGAGGTTCAGACTGGCGTGAGGTGCAATAACTGGAGTCCATAGATTAATCTCTGATTTAACCATTTCTGCATCATAAAGCTTGGGGCAGGGTCTAGTTGCTACCAACAGTAGCGACTTACTTATATCTTTTCTCAAATTAATAGTGAGATGTACAGCTATTCCTCTACTGAGAATACTTCAAGCAGCAGGACAACACACTAATGGCTGTTCTCAGTGGTAATCTCTTAGATTATTGCAAAGGGAGCCTGAGATTCCAAATTTTCTTTTTTATTTCCAACCGGGCTCTAAACAAGGACTGACTTCCTCTATACCACCATCATACCACGCAATCTCAGCTCAAACTGGATCTGCACCAAATACAAGTAGTGGCAGTGTATTTTACACATCTCATAATATCATTAAAAAGTTTGGGTTTGAAGGGATCTTAAAGATCATCTAGTTCCAAAACTAGATGCAGGGACATGCAGGGACACCTCATATGTTCTGAAGGCAGCTACGCTAAGGGTTTAAAAATAACCCACAAAAGAAGACTGCATCTACAGTCACGTAGTAACAGGAAAATGCTTTGCTGTCTATCAGTCACAGTCTTCATACAAGATAGAGGCATGGGAAATTGCATATTGTTGGACACAATGGTGCTGTCAAGAGGCAGCTGAAGTGTGCACTTGAAGTATCAGTCTCCAGTGTATCTCTGCAAATGACACTGGAGTTAACATGGGCTTTTACTGACTACAAAACATCAAATAACCACACAGCTTTTTCCATTTGTGTTTACTCAAGAAGATATATCCCATACTGAAGGAGTGAAGAACATTGACAAAATTTTTTTTTAGAATGCTTTGAAGTGGATGAAGTATCTGTCCTTTATTATCATAAAATTTTAACAATTCCTTAGAGAATTCATAAAACTGAGGCCTAAAAATTAAAGGTAAAAAGACATACTAAAAAATACAAATAAATAAATAAATAAACTACTGAAATCATGCTTTTCCTCAGAGTGGACCTAGAATCCACCTTTTAGTATATGGGCGACCTCCATAATTTATTCAAGAAAAATCCCGACCTATATTATGCATGCTTTCTACCTTTTCTTCCTGTCTATAATAAAGGCATCATTTCCCCTTGTATCCATGTTTATAAAGTAATTATAGAAATACATAAAGCAAATATGACACCACCATCCCTCCCCCCCCAAAAAAATTAGTCTTAGTAATTATCACTGTAACTGCTATACCAACATATTATTGTCTTGACAAGGATGTCCTTTGGGAATTGTCCATTCAGATAATTGAAATCCATAACACTAAAGTCATCATAAAATAAGGTATGCATTATCATCCTAAACCTTCCAATAAAGCAGCGTAAAATGTGGGTGATTAAACGAGATACAAAGGAGAGGGAATTATCCATCTTACATTAGGGAATCACTGGTCAAATGGAAGAAAGGAGAGAGAATTACTTGAAAATATTGAGCAAAGCAGTTCTAAGATATTAAATCATGAATTTTCTAACTGAAAGGACTGTTTTAAAAGGTGACTTGTTTTGGAAAAAATAGTTAGCCTCCAAATTATTTTAATCAAGGGGAAATATTTCCAATTTATGTAAACCTAAGTCAATAACTGTTACTAAACAAAAATTACTTTTTTTCAATCATCGTATGATTAAAATTTGAGGCTTTTTTCACTTCTTTCCTATTTCAGAACAACGATGGAAAAATTTTAAAAATAAGAAACAGGTTACATATTGCTTGCCTTAAGTCTGTAAAGCTAAACTTGAAATCTCTTTGATTACCTGAGGCTTTTGGTTACATCAGCCAACATACTAGGGAGGCAGTCTCTAAGCTTCACTGCCTTGCATTTTTTTAAAAGGCATAAAGAAAAAAATCAGTTATAAAGACTTTTATACATTGCCTTCTCTGCTCCCTCCTCACCTTTTGATATCCATAAGTGCATTTTATCTGAGCTTGAACAGTAGGCAGGTGTTCTGTCCTGCAGTAGTAACTGCTGTTTATCTAGCAGAGTTAGTCTCCCATACAGGTACCCTAACAGGTAACACATTGTTTCTTGATCTAATTTTCTTTTATTTTAGATTTGGATAGATAATAGCATTATGTAATGAGGACATCAACAGTTTTCCAGTTCCTTGAACCACGAGAAGGGTTTGAGGCTCACCATGCTCTTTTCCTGGCAAGGATGGATCAACCAGCATGGAAGAAGTTAGCAACATTTCCAAGAAGATTAAATATATCTTTGGCTAAGTACCTTCCTTGTGTCTTCCATTACAGTCAGATTTTCCTCTTAACCAAGGTCATAGTTCTGATCACCATTAGACCCTAAATGAAACTTAAGTTTTACAGCACTTTTCAAAGATATCAGTGCCAAGGCAAAATAGAAGGGCAAAACAAATTTTAGGGTGACTAAGGGAAAGGAAGCAAACTGATATATTTCTCCTGGAAAGGCAGGCGTTCATTTTTAACTCTTGTAATTCATCTGCAAAACAAGCCTCCAAACTTCCTGTGCTTTCAGTTGCCAGCAGCTAAAACCAAGCCTCCTTCTTCAATTCTATTTGAAAAAGCAGACACTGAAACTCTAAAAAAATATGGCATCTGTTTTCTAACTTAACCAATGACAGAAGAAGGACCAAAATTTAGGTCTTCTATTTCACTGGTCATACTAGTATATCTTTCAAGTTACCATATTTTTCTTCCAAGTTTAAGTTTTAAATAAATTCAAAAGGTGTTAGCAACTGTTAGGACACTGCAGAAAACACAGATAGAGTGTGACAAATTTATTGACAGCTGTGAGCTCAAACACGCAGAATTCAGCAACTGAAGCATACTTTTGAAAATCCTTATGCTAATAAATCCACATTACTTGTTATACACTGCCTCACCAAGAGAAATTCTTGTAAATTAGTTAAGATTTCTTAAATTATGAAATATGAGTAGTGACACCCCTCCTCCCTCTCTTTGTACATGGGAATACATCTGAACATAGTCTAATGCTTTAGCCTTACCAGTGCTGTCATCATAAACAACAGTAACAGTTTTCCACTTGAAGAACTGCACAAGGTCAAGGATGGCACGGCTGAGTGAAGAGAAATCTGGATAAAGGCTGACGTAGAAGGAGTCCTTGTTGTCTGACACCTGATGTTTCCAGCGGGTCTGGATATGTGGAACACCCAAAGCGTTGCAGATGGATTGCACAGCATTAGCTGAGGAGCTATGGGATGGTCCAAAGATGGCTGCCACCCCAAGGGACAGCTGATCGCAGGCTGAAGAGGAGACAGAAGTCTGTCAATGATGAGAGGAAAGAAGGCAGTGTGCCAGAAGGTATTGCACAATTCATATTAAACAAAAGGCACTCCATGAAATACAACTGTATTACTGACAGAGCTCCCTTCCTATGTAACACTTTCACTTATGGATTTCAACTTCAGAATACATTTCCAAACTTTCACGACAAAGTGATAAATATCAACACTTAACACTTAAAAAGCACTCTACTATATTTAATAAACACTTCTAGGTCAGTGGAAGTCACAAAGGCCAGCAATTGTGTGTCTTTTAAAAAGCACTGACAAGGAAAGATATTTATGCTCAGCTGCATCTTACATTTGGAAAATGGCCATGTAGGACAGTATTCTAATCTAGTTTGTTTAAGTGTGAACCTCTTCCTCGATCAATCAACACTATTTCTACTGAGATCCTAATTACTCAGAAATGTTACATGTTGAGTAGCTTTTAGGGCCCGTGATTAGTTTCATTTAAATGGACATTTGAATTTCTGTATTTGAAAGGAGTCAGGATACTACTAAAATTTAAAGGCCAAAATTTTTGCTAAAATTAAATTGCTGTCTGCTATTGGAAAAAGTTCAGTGTGTCTCCTTAAAAACTGGAAATGCTCAGTTTTGCTACACTTATACTAGTACATGAAACTGGCCCTGAGAATCATTGACATGATACCGTTGCATTCAAACGGCTTAGCTCTCCACATTCTGATACAGATTGTCTCTACCTGTACTGTTCTTTGCCAGTCTCTGGTCTGTGTTATCTCCTACGGCATGCTCCAGTATCACTTTGTGAAATATTAGTTAGGATGTGCCAAAAAGAAAGTAAGAAAAAACAGTCAACACTGGAGACCAGTGTTTCAGCCCATACCCTGCTCCTATGTCATTCACTACCATAGGCATAAACTTTATGAACATGCAGTTCTGAAAAACAACAGATTCTATGTTCTAAGAAAACAACTTATTTGGTAGGGAGAAGTAATGAGAAGTATCTCCCTAATACAAACTAGATGCAAGTATTTGTATGAGGTTTGATTAATTAATAGTTACACCACCACCACTGTTCCTAGCAGATGAGGAAACAAGCAGTAGAAACACATCTTGCTGCATCACTTTTTGCAGCAATTCAACATTAATTTTTTTTATTATTGTTTTCAACTTGATGAAAATATTGCTGTCTTTCAAGTGCATTCCAGAAATTATGCTGGCACACCTTTTTATTACTGTAGAACACCAATGGTTTAAATGAACCTCTCATACACACAGGATCTCCGTTGCTATTCGGTGTGTTACCTAAATGACTAGCCTGATAAAAAAAACATTTATGCTAATATTGCCCTTCCTAAGAGTAATCAACAAGCTTTATGCAAATGTCAGTAAATGGGATCACTAACAACAGCAATAGCTACCAGATGGCTTTTCAATGGGCTTTTTTTTTTCCTGTTTCTGAGATTTGAATAATGCAATGCTTTCACACGTGATTTAATATAGAACTGGCTTTCTCAGGAACATGCCAATTTTTCTAGCACATTGAGGGATATTTTGTTGCACTTACATTATTCTTCACTTAAACAGTATCTTGGAATATCATCTTGCCTTCAGGTTGCTCTTTCATATAGTACCTTTAAAAACCCATTAATAGTTCATCTGTATTCAACTTCAAAAGTATGTGTTTCTAAGAGGTCTAAATAGGCTATTTTTGATTCAGCACCCGCCTGCTCACTAATGGGCATAATAATGAACCACGAAAATGAGTCAAATGCTCAAACCTCATTGTTGAAACTCTGCTTTGGAGCCATCATAATAAAATGAACCATTTTATGTTAACCTTTACCCTTCGATTCTGAACTAAAGCGCCTGTGAGCACAAATGTAGTTTTCTGTATTGTGAATTGATGAAGCAAAAAGCTATTAGAACTGGAGGATTACACAGATTTTGATACAGCCTGATCAGTTCCAAATAAAGAGTTACATTCTCATATAAGATGCAAGTGGGAAAAATGAATATATGCAATCTATTCAATATATCTAATCAATAGCATGTTGCCATTCTAACTTCAGCTATTATAGTCTAACAAAAATTAGCAACATAATATTAGGGCTAGCAAACCCCAACTAAGGGCTAAAAGTAGTTAGTTGCATTACCTCAGGAAAGACTTGAAGAATTAAATATCTTAGAAGAATTTTTTCTGCTCTCTACATCCTCCCTCAGGAATGGGGAGAAACTGTTCCATTATATTTCACAGGTCAGCAGGTGCTGGATTCAGGAAGCATATGAATTTGGAAAGTGAGAAGGAAAGGAGAATGAAGGAGGTAGAACTAAGGATCAGCTCATTTTTTCAGTGTTGGCTGAGATGGAAAGGACAGAGTAGTCTCTCTCAGAACCCACTTTAATTAAACATCCAAAACACTGGAATAACAACTCAAAAATACACTTTTAAAAGTGGAGGTTTGCCTCTTTCTTCTACCATATACTCACTTCTGCCAAGAAACCATCTTGCTAGGCATAAATATTTAGCCTATAGTATTTTTCATAAATCAAAGCCTCTTCAATGACCAAACTGTGTGTATTTCTGTACAAATATGGACACTTTCTCTTTTCATGCCTAAAAACAAGACTCTACATTAGAATTGTTTATTTGTCAAATAAACAGATAAAAAAGGTTAGAAAGATTAACTTTACATGTTATAATAAAAGAGAATAAAAATTCCCATAAGTTCTAAACTGAAATTTTTAATCAGTATTAAATTCCACTTCCTGCGCATTCATCATCAGCAGTGTTTAATTATGTATCATTTCTAATGTTTATCAATTGTTTTTATTCTTAGCTCACTATAACACCAAAAATCCCTTATTGTTAAAGTTTTCAGTCTTCAATACTTGGGAGAGGCATGTTGGGACCAGATCACTTAGCAAATTTAGGCTAAAAACCTGTCATAAGAAGCACAGGTTTACCTCCAGTTTTTTCACCCTTATTATTGTCTTTTTAGGGATAACGTCCATACGCTATTAGCTCTTCAATTTATAAAAAAATATTTTTAAATAACATGTAATACAGAGCAAAATTCAGTCTTACACCAGGCTGTATTTTCACTTGCAAATACATATTGAACTTTTTGGGGTTTGCACTTCCTAGAATACAGCAACGAGGCAGAACAACTTCTGTCTGTTGACATTGACTTGAATGTAAAGCAGTCTGAAAACTTGGATTTTTTTGAGAATCAAAGATTTGAAAATTTGAAAAATTTATTAAAAATGTTCAAAATTACTTTTAACTTCTAACCCTTCTTTAAACAAATCCTTTATACTTAGAGAGAAAATGGCTGAACTCAGGCTAGACATTCACCTGATAACAATATAATACAGACTTAATATTCAGCCTTATTTTTACGCTATGCTGACATAAGATGCACAAAATTACAACTACTTCTTTCCTTTTGAAGTCCATACATGATTAACTATATAAAGACAGTTGTGGAGATGTACTTAAAGTCATTGAATGCCTAAACCTGAATTCCAGGTTCACTAGAATTTGGAGGAACTTGACATTTTGCTCAATAAAGTCTGGAGATACTGTTTTCTCACTCCAAAGGAGCTGGTCTCAGAAACATCCTAATACATTGTTCAGTAAAATTCATTTCAGATTTTAAGTATTTAAGGAAATAGCTTTTAGATAGGGTCAATGGGAGTAAAGGTGACAACGGAATTTTCAAGCAGTTACCATTACAGCCTTCAATAAAGCAGTTCCTGAATGTCAGCCACAATAATATCACAATCTCATTGCATACGGCTTCATTGGATAGACATTTTTTCAGGTATGTAAACTGAGTCTTTGTTCCTCATTAAAAAAATGAAATATGCAAAAGGTTACCTTTTTTTGATGCTTCAAAACTGTCATAGAGATTTATCTTTTGAGTGTCATATGTTAATGTGGTGTTGGGCAGAAGAGTTCTGTTTCTGTTGATTGTGTTCACAGCAAATCTGAAGGCTAATTCTTCTGCTCCCATTGGACCAGATTCCACACACTCAAAAATGCCCCCTGGAGTGCAAAAAAGACAAAAGAACAAAAAAGACCACTAGTAAGCAAAAAGAGCATAAAGTATAACATCTTTAATCATACTTTGGATTCATCAGCCTGAATTGTTTCATTTAATAGACCTCATGCAGTGTAACTCATGATTTTGTTGAGGTTCTAGCCAAACAATAACAAAGCCAGAAACAATTAGAACTAACCTTAAGGAAATGTTCTGGGTTTTTTCCATACAATATTCATTTTACTATTGTGAATGAAAAAAGTGTGGCAATGTACACTAACCACACTATTTAGAAGCAAAATAGAAGGGAGATGAAGAATATTTAATTATTTTAAATAGTTAGACTTGAACATATTTACCCCTTCCAGATCTGCCACTGCCTATTTGTGTGTGCAGGCAGAAGGGAGATTTCTGGATTTTTCTTTTTGGCCATTCTAGAGTTACGATACATCTATAATGAACTGGACAGTTCACTGGAAATGCAACACACAAAGGTGTATGAAACTGGGATGCCTCAACTTGTCTCCAGAAATTAAGAGGTATAGGTATTTTAGCATGACTGTTTGACTGAATTGATAAATATGTTGAGCAAAAGGTTCAAATTTTGCTCTTTTGCCCTGAGCTGCATGTGGATGCTAACTTCAGCAAATGCAGGAATCAAAGCAATTGCATCCTGCATAACCTCTCTTGTGCAATGACAGCATCTCCAAACAAGGCACGCTACCAGAGTAGGACATGCCCCAAATAATAGATCATTTCTAGAACCTTTCTGAGCCAACCTTAATCTTAAATGGAATAAATACATTCGTGCTGTGCTTCAGCTTTTCTCATTAATGACATATCATTGCCCATGAAATGTAAATTTATATACACTTTGGGGTAATATAATTTATTCTTGGTTCTGTGAAGGCCAAGGATACTGTGACAATAAAAGTAATTTGAAGATATGTCCCTACTGTAGTGACATGGAATGCCTCAGAAAAATGACCAGCATCCTTATGGTCTCTTCAGCCCTCATATTTATGGTCTCTCCAGTCCTCATATTAACAGTATCTGTCAATACCAATAGACAGCCAATGGCCATCATCTCAGGACCACTAATTACGAGCCAGGTATTGTGCCTTCATCAGAAATGTTATTCATTCACTCTCTCCTGCCTTGTATTTATTCATTTCCTAAGTAATGTTCCTACCTGGCTTTGTATTTTCTTTGAAAAAAAAATAGTCAACATCACTACTTTCTCATTAAGAAGCTCCCAGAATCTGAATATACAACTGAGTCAAACAACTTCACAAACTACAGTCAGTTTCTGAATAGTCTTGTGAGTAATCAAGTAGATAAACTTTTCTAAAGCAAAAAGACTGTGTAGGTAGTATTTACTGATAGTATTAAATATAAAAGTCATTTCGGCTTTGTAAATCTCCTGCCTCTTACAACCCATTTCTCATTACAGAATGGAGGTGTTAAATTTTTTCCTGCAATTGAGCCTTTGAATTCCTGGTGAGAGCCCTAGGGACAGATGCTCATATAGTATTAATTTAAAAGCATAAGTCCTAACCACTGAGATAAGATGTGACCAATAATTATTTAAACATTAGTCATTTAAAACTGGGAATGAGGAAATGATGGGAAAGGCAGGCTCTTAAGAAAAATTAGATATCTAGGGAAATGGTTGAAATGGATTGAGCACAGAATGTATATATAATCAGTAAACAATATTAACAATACTTCAGAAGCTAAAGCAAAAGAAACTTGGATAACACTCAGATAAATATAAGCCTAGTACACTTTAAAATTGAGAAAGATTACATGTTTATTTGCACAGTGATAGAATATGAACATGAAAGGCAACCTACTGCTTTTGAAGTTAATGAAGTGTTCTGTTCAGGGAGAGGTATTCTGACTGACAAGATTTTGTGTTGCTAAGACTTACAGAATCTAAACATTGCAATTCCAGCTGTGACATATAGGAGGATACTATTTTGATTTGGGGAGAATAATTAAAAATTGTTGCAGAAATTTAAAAATTAAATAATAAATTATAAGTATAGATATCCAGAGACAATAGAAAGATATTTCCATAAACATAATGAAAATTTAGATAGATTTCATAGACTTTCCTAAGACATCTGGAAGGGAGCTATTCAAACATATTTTAATAAAAGCGTATTACACAAAAAGTTGTGAAAAAAAATCTTAAACTACAATGATTTAACAAGGACAAATAAGCATTACAGTATCTTTATTCTCCTGAAGTTTTTAAATTGGAAGATTTCTTCTGTAATTTCAATGTGTCTGAAGCTCAATAGTCTCCCTTTTTTATTCCTGTATTTTTCATCCCTAAATTCTTGAGACAGGGAATTCTGTGTCAAATATGCAGCCACTACTCTTCAGCATAAGAAAAAATAAAAATGAAATTCTATTTTGATCTCTCATACCTAGGTAATTCCTAATGTTAGTGACAGTCTATCACATAGTAAGACAATTTTATAAGGACGACAAAGCCTCCCCTGTGAGTGGCAATGATGTATGACTGCCCATATGCACCATTCAGTGGTTTCTTCCCTCACTCACTAGTTCTCTGTCCTTGTGATAAATGTACCCCCTGAAAATATCGCAGCATATGGTCAGTCTGTTTCAGAGTATATTTCCATTCCTAAGGAAAATAGAGGTAGAATACCCTGTTTCTGTTGTCCTATGATTAGAATATTTTGCTAGGAGGAAGGAAAACATATGTTCTGATTCCTGATCCTGAATATTTTCATATTTTACACTAGGTAGACACTGAATTAAAAATAAGAACCATAGAGGAATATAAATTAGACTATGTATTTGAAGTTTCCTAGCTGTTTTCCAACCTTTGGGTTGTCCAACTTCCACTAGGTTCCTTTCCTTCTAGTTTTATGCTACTTCTGCATCTCTCTGCTCAAAGAGCAGGGAAGAAATAGCTAAATATTAATAGTTAAATATTTTGGATGATGGCAGTTGTGAATTCATCTTCACATTAAGAGACTCAAATCAACTGGTTCTCAAAAGTGTGCCATGTCTTCCTAATATGCAAAATGAAAATGCCAGGCTCCTCAGTTGTGAATACAGCTGTTAGTTTTGGCCAACCTAATACTGCCCATGGGGCACCACCATTTTTTAATTGAACATCTAAACAGTTTAAATTGAACACACACTAAGCAGAGCACAAGCTTAGACAGACAGACATTTGCATTCTGAATATCAGAATATAGTAAAAAAACAGATCTTCATTCTCTAGATGGAGAGACCTCGTACGCTTGCTTGGAAGTCTGTGTAAGGTATTTGCAGCATGCTCAGCAAAGACACATAAATGCGTTCAAGCACTGACAGAAATGGGAAGTTTTAAATGGTGCTTTTTCCATTGCTGCATAAGTAAGTAGAAACTTATTTGGTAGCTTTAAACTGCCTTGGACTTACCATTATGTTCTTATATTTGTTGCTGAGTCTGTAAATAATAGCAAAAACCCCCAAACTTTGAGTATTTTTAAAGACAATGTCGTATCAATCCACTGGTTTAATACTGGGAGACAAACCACAAAGTTGTTATAGCATATTGTGTCATATTGTTCCTTCCCAAGAAGGCTGTTCTTTACTGCTGCTGTACTTTATGCTCAGGATAGCCTTATTAATAATCAAATTGAGGAATGCACTGCATGCCTTCAGATAAGTTGACAGAAGAGTCATAAATCTTGCTATTGATATGTAGACTAACAGCCAAACCAATGCCTATCTCTGTCTAACAGCTTGAGAAATGCAGGTGTTGTCATTTGTCTTATTTTTAACAGAGCTTATAGACCCATGACTAGCAGAAACATCAGTTCTCAGATACAATCAGCAGCACATCCTAGAGGAAATGTCTGAAATTCCACCACTACCTCAAAACAGAGACAGAAAACTTAAAAGTAATAAAAACGTGTATATGAACCTTAGCTTGCTTTAATGGTCTCATATATGACTTCTTCATTTACAGTGTTAATGATAAGGCAGTTTGTCTCTGTCTTATAATAGTAACACTAGGGAATATGGCATCATGTATCTACAGCTCAATCTGTAGCTCAAGAAGTTTTACTGGCTGTGTTCAGTAGGTGACTGCTGTATAGCTGAGCACTTCAAGTTTTTACTGTCACAATAACCACTTAGTTAAAGCTCACTAGGTTTTTAGTAGTGATCAACACCTGAAGAATCACAGAGAAGAAGAATGTTTAAGACATGCCAATCCAAGCCAGATATGCAAGAGCAAATGAAAAACATTCTTTATATATTGTATCTTTGCAGTGACATCCGTGATAATTCAAATTTCTTATTAACCTTGGTATGACAGAACTCCTTTTACCAAACCTGAAATCCACTAGGATCCTTTATCAGGTGTCAGTATTGAAAAATCATTTATATGATCAAGTTTTTTAACCAATAGGAAAAATTCAATCATCTGTGCAATACTGATGCAATAACACAAACTATTGGGGCTAAAAAAAAAAAAGATAGCAATATTTTACCAAAAAGGACATAATGTCCTTAATATTTTCCAAGGAAGAAGAAAATCTGAATTAGTTAATGAAACAATTTTACAAGTCCAAAAAAAATGTTCTGAGATTGCTTAAATTAAAAGTCTACATTTTCAATCAAAAAACTATAGTAGAATTGACATTTTTAGTTTACAAGTCATCCTGGTTCTCCCTAATTTTTAAATCATTTTCTCAAACACAAAATCCAGAGGAAGAAAAAAACTAGCCAGCTTGATACACATCTTGGCAAAAATTTTTCCCCCCAGGAAAAAAATTTTCCTGCTGTTATGTACCTAATTTCACAAATAATAGGGTAACATGATTCAACTTTTCATTTCCATTCTACAATAGGGTTCAGTTTGAAGATCAGTATCTTTGTGTTTACATTATCATCCCCATAATTATATAATATATATAATATATAATGGGTATTATATCTGATAATGCCATGGTTACTAGACAATGGCACTAAG